ATTTATTCTAACTCTATAAATAGCCTGGTGACATCCCCAATTTTTTGGGCATGAACAGGTTTATATGCAAATAGTTCAAGCATGAAGTTTTATGGAAATTTATCTGTAATTGAGGAAGGTCTCGTGTGTCCTTAAAAAATAAAATGTTTTCAGATTTTTAATTTCAGATAACAAATAATAGAGCTTTTCATAGACTGTCCCCCACTAAATATGAATAAGCTCCACTCTTCATCTCTTGTCAAAATCACAGCTGTTTGAATTGGTAAACAACAATTGAACAAAGTCAAAAATAAAATATAGTTTTAATGTCCTAAAATATTGAGAAAAAAATTATTACAAATGGCTAGAAAAAATTAATTGTGTCAGGTGCGTTTTCTATGGGACAGTAGGCAACTGCCAACAAACAAATATTTATTTAAGGCCTATGTTTTAAAATATTTAGTAAATATTGTACATGTGTATTCTATACTTACAGGTATTTGCTAGTAATAAGCAGATGGTACTCCATTATACTGCACTGATAGCTTCTCAAAGATTAAAAAATTAATATGATACATGCAAACAGGTAAGAAAATGCTAGAAAAGAGGGAAATATTTGTTGCAGATGTACCGGGTGAACAAGTGTGTGAAAGTCAGTCTAAATATTGGGTCTCAGTCAGTTCATAGGGTTAGTGTGCTGGCACTGTACGCCAGAGGCCCTGGGTTCGAGTCTTAGTTGAGACTTCTTTTTTCACCACCTGTTACAGTTGTATATATTGATATATGAAAATAATACAATCATGTATTATATTATCATAATGTACTATACATGCTATAGCAATTGTGTTAATTATTGAATGCATAGCAAAACCATTAGCATTCAGACTAAATTAAGTTAAATTATAGTTAACTTTGTTAATTCATAGAATACTTGTGACTTGTGTAATAAAATATGTTACAGACATAATGAACAAAATGTTATTGAACTGACATTTTTGAGTTTTTCTGTAGGCACAGTTAAAATGTCAATCATCACAAGATCAAACTTCAGTACCAGATTAACCCTAAATCAAATATCATCCTGATTTATCAAAAGACTACATGTAAGTAATTTGTATGAATATTTTAATTAAGGAGAAGGTATGGTTTTAGCTTTATTGCGCCCTATAAATGTAATGACATCAAAAAGTTTTGAAACTGGCTTAAATATAAGTTAAGTTTATGACTTTGATAGATCAGGAAAAAATATGGCATGAAGGTTTACCATTTCTAATATCATCATTGAAGCATTTCTCTATATTCAACTGAAAAAGCCTCAAAATCGAACCTCAAATGGGATTTTCCTGTAGAAAACAATGTCCACAGCCGTCGCCCACGTTAATTTTTTGATATTTTGTGCAAAATTTAATAACAAATCACATATCTCAATATCTTTGTGGGCGATGCCTGTGAACAATGTTATCTGAAAGAAAATTCCATTGAAAATTGGTGCTTTCTGCAACTTTTTAAGAAAATACGGGAAAATGCACATGTTTTATAGCATCATAATTAGCATTTAAATCACATGTGAGAAAAATGACTTGTATGATTTTTCTGCATTGAATTTAAATTATTTAAAAAGCATGAGTTTTCAACTTTTACACCAGTTTCATTTTTTAGAAAATCACAGGGCAAAATTTGAATGGAAACCATACCTTCTTCTTTGGACTCTTTAATCTTAACAATTATATCAAAGCTTTGCATATATTTAATTTTTACCATGACCAAAGTCAATATTACAGAGAACAGTCTAGAGGTGGAAACTGATAGATCATTTGAAGAGGATGCTGTAAAGCAGTCATAAATATGTTTCACAAAACAATGAACACCTTGTTACAGCATATCTTGAACAGCCTAGAACAGGTATTTGTTACTTTCACTCAAAATTGTTAGAAAACTCTAACAATACACAACTTGTAAGCTAAATTCTTAAGTTCAATATTACAGAGAGCAGTCTGGAGGTGAAAACTGATGGATCACTTGAAGAGGAATCTGTTAAAGCACAGAGACATGTACCAAGGAACAACTAGACATGATTGTTGCAGCATATCTTGAACAACCTGGCATAAGGTATTTGTCACTATACTCAGGTCTAAAGAGTACAAATGTATTTCACATATTTTTAGGTCACCTGAGTAAACTCAAGTTCAGGGTTTTGGTGCTAAGGGGAGGGGCTCTAATGAAAGATTATAAAGTAAAAAATGCATGAATTCCTCGAAAACCTTTTCCTTTGCTCCTGGTTATTATGTCAGTATTCTAATTAAGAACATATTAATGATGATGAAAGGTGCCTTTTCCAAAATGGTTAGTTTCAGATCCCCTGGGTTACAGGTACTTGGGATTGAGGTGGAATCACATAGTCTATAAATAAATTAATGCTTTGAAATTTTCTTTTTGGTAATAATCAACCGTTTATGTTGATATAAATTTTATGATAAAATTTCCAGAATTTTGAAATATGTGCCCCCAGGGTCAGTGGTTCCTGTCAGGTAGTCTGTGCACAACTGGTTAAAAAGTGGGAGATATTTTTCTTTGTTACTATGATCTAACTCTGGGTATTAACAGGTTGGGGGAAACGTAAATTCTTCTATAATAGTGGTATCTCACTATTATAGTGAAATTACACTATATTTCCTGCCGTGGATACCCTCAATTTCATCCGATGCCATGTAAGGCGTTTGAACCGCAAGTCATTGTGGGTATTAAGATGAACAAAAACTGTCATGCTTGCATGTTTTGAATTTTAATAAATTTTCTACCGTTGCGTTTAATGATGTACGACACCCTTTTTTTAACAGAAGTTGCATTTTTAACACAGCAACCGATGATTGCGGGGATTTTTAAGCCTGTTTCTGAATATCACTTATTGTTCATTAATGTGCACAATTGATGCTTGTTGCAATTGTCAACTTAATTGTAAAGGGTTTATTTAATTAAAAAAGAAAAATATTATTTGTGTCTCATCAAGTCTAAGATTATGGAGCCCGTTTATGGTAAACAGAAAGACCCATTATTATCGCAGCGGCCGATCTTTTTGTGCATCCATTATGTTCTAAATATAATGAACATAGAAATAGGAATTTATTTTTGTTATAATTCAGTATAATAATTATTTACTGATAACAAATTAGAAAATCATAAGTAATTCTTTTAATGCTTAATAAACACATTTAAAATAGTATTGTTATAATGTTTCAATTTCATTGTCATTTCTCATCAAGATATTTAATAATTTTTGACTAAATAAAAAGACTTTTTAATAGGTACTATATATATACATGTAGATATAAAAAGAAATTATGACTTCCCGGTCACATCATAACGACTGGTACATAAAGTGCATGGTTAATAAAAATTTTTTTTAAAAAGTTCAACTCATAAAAAAAAGTTTTGAATATGTTACAGCTGTGAATGCTGCGAATGAAACGAGGATAATTTTGTTTCCACATTTTGCACAGCGCCTTGCAGCATACCCTATTCTGCATAAACCATAGGAATTTTTATGTGATCAAGATCCAGGGTGCACGTGGTTCGGTCATTTTTTTATTTCAGACTGTCTTCAAAGCAATGTAAATAAATATTTTTTTAAATACTCCAGTAAGTACGTACATAGATATTTAAGTGCATTTGCTCATCAGATGGATTCATCGATGTAATAAATCCATAGGAGTCTGAAGGAAATTGAAAGTAGGGGGCTAATTCAAAGTTGGGGGGGCTAAACCAACAAAAAGGTAAACTCCAAGTTTAGATACAAACAAAATGTACCTGTTTGCAAAAAAAGTGTTGGGCAACGCCCCCCCCCCCCCCCCCCCGGGTTCTCACGCATATGAAGTCAGTGATAAAAGATTTGATTGAAAATGAAAATATACCCTTCTCAAGATTCTAGTTTGACTTTGAATATCTTGTACTTCCATTGCATGGATATGCTTTCAAAATTGTGAAAGTACTTGTCAAATGCTAATTATATTTAAATTGTTTTAAAATGTGGCCGATTTGATGCTTTTAAATCAATTCAAGATCTGGAAGAAGTATTTAAATTGAGTCAAAAATGTTTTAGACATTTCTTGTGCTGAATATTGAGCAGTGGTGATTGGTTATTTAAAGGTACGTAGTGGTTTAAACAATAATACAATGGCATAAATTTAAAAGCCTGAAAAAAATAATACTTTAGTGTGATTTTTTGCTACATACTTTCATTTCCTAGAATATAATTAGGTATAAATATTTTTCAAATAACAAGAAAAAAACTACAGCTATTTCTCTCAGATTTTAAAGTTAAATCATTCTTGCCTAAGCGCATAAACATAAAGTTAAATAAGATACATTTGTATGCAGTTAAAAAGATTCTTAAATCATAACTATTTGAACGTGTTACAGGCACTCTTGTCAAATATTCCCGACACCAAAATAAATTAAGTCTTTTTTTCTGAAACAAACGATTAACCGGCCGAAATTAAAAATTCGATATATTTTCTAGGATCGTTTTTATATAAGTAATTTTTTTGATTATTTATTATAAATTTATTTTGTAAAGAGGATAGAAATCGAGTTTATCATTATACTCTTTTTTATGTTTGCCATAATGTGTCTTCCCGTTTACCATAACGAGCCTCCATACCCGTAACCATGCAGACACAAATAATCTTTTTCTTGTTTAATTAAATAAACCCTTTACAGTTTAAGTTGACAATCGCAACAAGCATCAATTTGTGCACATTAATGAGCAATAAGTGATATTCAAACAGGCTTAGATATCCCCGAAATCATCGGTTGCTATGTTAAAAATGCAACTTCCGTTAAAAAAAGAGTGCTCGCATAATTAAACGCAACGGTAGAAAATTTATTAAAATTCAAAACGTGCAAGCATGACAGTTTTTGTTCATCTTAATACTCACAATGACTTGCGGTTCAAACGCCTTACTTGCCATCGGATGAAATTGAGGGTATCCACGGCAGGAAATATAGCGTAATTTCACAATAATAGTGAGATACCACTATTATAGCGGAATTTACTTTTCCCCCCAACCTGATTAAGTAACTAAAGTAAGCAAGCTAAATGTATTAGTTATGATAAGCAATTGTGCCTCTTTCAAAATTTTGAATTTAATGGCCTTTGATTTAAAACATGAACCAATTCAATTGTTGGACAGTTGTTACATGATACTCAGGTGACCCGTAAGACCCACGGGCCTCTTGTTTTAAATCACAATTCTATAATGGAAACATTTAGATAGACAAAAATTGTTTGTGACTGAAAGGTCTAAAGGACTATATCCCAACTCTAACATAGGCTAATTTGAACTATAGATATCATGATAAGCTTTTGAAATATAAAATAATAACTTTTATGAAGATATATTCTAAATAAAAAGGCTGCTTTACTATCACCAGAGGCAGTGAAATAACTGTGTCAAAGTCACAGAGATTGAATTTTGAGATCTTTAGATCTTACGTTTACAATTATTAGTTATTATGTTATGGCCAAGAATTTAAAATACACTTAGCTTGCTTACTTTAGTTACTTAATACCCAGAGTTAGATCATAGTAACAAAGAGAACATGTATTTCCACTTTTTAACCAGTTGTGCACAGACTACCCTACAGGAACCACTGACCCTGGGGGCACATATTTCAAAATTCTGGAAATTTTATCATAAAATTTATTTCAACATAAACGGTTGATTATTACCAAAAAGAAAATTTCAAAGCATTAATTTATTTATAGACTATGTGATTCCACCCCAATCCCAAGTACCCTGACCCAGGGGATCTGAAACTAACCATTTTGGAAAAGGCACCTTTCATCATCATTAATATGTACTTAATTAGAACACTGACATAATAACCAGGAGCAAAGGAAAAGGTTTTCGAGGAATTCATGCATTTTTTACTTTATAATCTTTCATTAGAGCCCCGCCCTAGCACCAAAACCCTGAACTCGAGTTTACTCAGGTGACCTAAAAATATGTGAATACATTTGTACTTTTTAGACCTGAGTATAGTGACAAATACCTTATGCCAGGTTGTTCAAGATATGCTGCAACAATCATGTCTTGTTGTTCCTTGGTACATGTCTCTGTGCTTTAACTGTGAGTTTCCTCTTCAAGTGATCCATCAGTTTCCACCTCCAGACTGTTCTCTGTAATATTGAACTTAGGAGTTTAGCTTACAAGTTGTGTATTGTTAGAGTTTTCAAACATTTTGAGTGAAAGTAACAAATACCTGTTCTAGGCTGTTCAAGATAGGATGCTGTAACAAGGTGTTCATTGTTTTGTGAAACATATTTATGACTACTTTAACAGGATCTTCTTCAAATGATCTATCAGTTTCCACCTCTAAACTGTTCTCTGTAATATTGAACTCTGGTTTAGATGGCAAAAATTAAATATGTGCAGCTTTGATATAATTGTTAAGATTAAAGAGTCCAAATTAATTAAAATATTCATACAAATTACTTACATGTAGTCTTTTGACAAATCAGGATGATAATTGATTTAGGGTTACTCTGGTACTGAAGTTTGATCTTGTGATGATTGACATTTTAACTGTGCCTACAGAAAAACTCAAAAATGTCAGTTCAATAACATTTTGTTCATTATCTCTGTAACATATTTTATTACACAAGTCACAAGTATTCTATGAATTAACAAAGAAAACTATAATTTAACTTAATTTAGTCTGAATGCTAATGGTTTTGCTATGCATTCAATAATTAACACAATTGCTATAGTACAATGTGACAATATAATACATGTATTATTTTCATATATCAATATATACAACTGTAACAGGTGGTGAAAAGTGAAGTCTCAACCAAGACTCAAACCCAGGGCCTCTGGCGTACATTGCCAGCACACTAACCCACTGAGCTGATTGAGACCCAATATTTTGACTGACTTTCACACACCTGTTGACCCGGTACATCTGCAACAAATATTTCCCTCTATTCTAGAATTTTCTTACCTGTTTGCATGTATCATATTAATTTTATAATCTTTGAGAAGCTATCAGTGCAGTATAATGGAGTACCATCTGCTTATTACTAGCAAATACCTGTAAGTATAGCATACACATGTACAATATTTACTAATTATTTTAAAACATGGGCCTTAAATAAATATTTGTTTGTTGGCAGTTGCCTACTGTCCAATAGAAAACGCACCTGACACAATTAATTTTTTCACGCCACTTGTAATAATTTTTTCTCAATATTTAAGGACATTAAAACTATATTTTATTTTTGACTTTGTTCAATTGTTGTTTTCCAAACAGCTGTGATTTTGACAAGAGATAAAGAGTGGAGATTATTCATATTTAGTGGGGGACAGTCTATGAAAAGCTCTATTATTTGTTATCTGAAATCTGAAATTAAAAATCTGAAAACATTTTATTTTTTAAAATGCCTTTTATATTACTACCTTCCTACTACCCAGTCTAAAAATTATAGGTTGGCAACTGCTTTTAGCTTTGCCATTATTATTTTTAGTAACCACAATAAAGAATATAGACCTACAGTAGTGAGTATATTATACGTGACAACTCATTATTGGAAAGTAACTAGGCTTTGACTCAGTGGCGGATTTAAGTTGGGGCATATACACGATTCTTTTTCACAAGTTTTACGGAGTTATCGCGCTTTGTCACACGGCGGCGTTGTCGTCGGCCGCCATTACGGTGCTGATAATGTGATAAGAATGACAGTAAGCACTACGAATAAATGGGTGACAAATGCATTGTTTTCTTTGTTTTCCAAAGTCGGACATGCTGATATACGACTGGAAAAGTATGTTATATAGTAAATAAATTTAAAGAGAAGATATACACGTGTGTATTTTTTTTTAATCAAATTTTCAATATCATTTTTCTAGTTAACCGCTCGTAGGTATCCGAAACCTTTTTATTTGACGCTTAGTATATAATTTTACACACCATGTGCTAGTTTACTAAATAAAAATAATTATCAATTACAAATAAATTAAGACAAAATTTAAAAAAAAATTCTTGTTTACTATTTCATTAAAAACTAGTGCTAATTGTAACGGGGACCGTTACAGATGTTCCCCAAACGCTCCCCATGTCCCTTATCGTGCCTTATTCCTCTAAGACCTTTTATAAATATGCTAAGTATCCCAAGATTTCATTTAAGAATATAAAAGTTACAATGATATCAACTATCAACGATATATTGTTTAACGTTTTGCATGCGCGCACACGTACATGTACATGCATATGCAAGATGATTATGGCATGTTGATTAAGCGATTAACATATCTTTCTATCCCGCGAATCAAAGAAAAAAATACATACATAAATTTACCATTTCTCAAGCATATGTCATATTTTTAATATATCGATTCACATTTTACTTCTCTACTTATTTAAACCTCGGGCTCAAAGTTGGTTTTATTCCGACGACAAGGCAGGGTTAAAGTCGACTAAGGGTATCACACCAATACCTAACCAATCAAAATGAACTTATTCAATAGTAGTTCCATACATGGAAAAGGGATTTTCCTTTCTGTTCAGAATTTTTTTAATATTTCCTCTCAGGCCATTTTGACAACTCTGATACCTGTGCCTGGTAAATTTTATATACTTTGTAAATAAATATATAAAGGTTTTTTTACCGGAACTATTCATTTTTTCCAATGCATAGGGGGCTACTCTCTGGGTTTTACAAGAGATGTTTAAAAAGACATTCGTGTCAGCTAATGTGACCTATATTGTTTAACACCTTCTTATTAATATTTTTTTCATGAATGCAAATATCTGATTATTTTACGAAGGAGCGTACATGTATATTGATTTTTTAATATACCTAAAATCGCTATTTCTGGGGATTGCGTAATTCTAAAAAAAATTCAAATAAATTTCAAAGGTAAATTAAACAAAGGATGCTTGGTATTAAAATATTATTTCAAATCAGTAGAATCGAATGCTATTAACGACATCTGAATAAATAGGCTATAAAAGGCTTATATGCCAACTTTGGTCATCTGCACTTTAATTTTAAACACGACAGGATTTGTTATTTTTTCTGTATAAATTAATAATTTCTATATACTTTGGAAACTCAAATAAAATATTTTAATACACTTTCCTCGAGCTCTTTTCTGCAGTTTTCCTGAAATTTTATGTGGGTCCGAGGTGTTATTTGAGTTTAACAGTGATTCTCTACGTTGCCATTAATTTGATTTGTTTGTGTGTGTGTGTGGGGGGGGGGTATTCTTAACCTATTTAACGTTGGAGTTGAATCTTGTATCTTATTCCAAGAACTTAAGATTGATTGTGACATTTGGATGAAAGGTCAAGGTCATTAAAAACCACCACCTCTTTAACTTCTAACCTGTCAACCGAAATAAACTCTGAAAGGTGTTTCTAGATACATGTACATGTACTTCATGTTTCTTTTTACCCTTGGGTCAAGGACAAAGGTTAAGGTCGATTTCAAGTTCATAGGTCAAGGTGATTTTGGTAAATAGTTAATATCAACATTTTATTCAGGTTACCAGTGACCTTGACCTAAGTTTCAAGGTCAAGGGTAAAAAGATCTGCATGCTTCAGTATGTTACATGTCTTGACATTTAGAAGTTCTTAATTCTGCATGAACATCAAACACTCAAGTATACTGTCTTTTAATACATTGTGTGCGGTCGCATGTGCATGCACGTCCATGTAATACTTTTGATAGTAGTATAATGTAGGCAATCATTATATCTATTCATATTTGAAATTTCACCCTGTATTATTGAGAACCAAGAAAGTTGTAGGCATTTAAAGTTTTAGCCAATCATATTGCAGCACACGTGCATGTGCGTGCGTTCATGATTATTCTTATATATCATGCTGTAGATCTTCATAATGTAAGACTATGTTCAAAATTTCAAAGGATTTTGTCAGAAAACAAAATAGATATTTAGACTTTAAGTTTCAGCCAATCGCAGCGAAGGGCACCTGCATGCGCGTGAGATCTTGCTATTTTGACCATGTCATCATGTCTATACTACTATTATATCCTTATATTATGAGTTTCAAAGCATTTCATCCAATATTTAAAAAGTTACGGCTAAATGTATTATATTGATCATTTCACGTGTTACACGTGAGCGCACCTGCACGCACGTGCGCGCAAAATGACCTTCGTTCCGCACATCTACACAACATACCTAGTGACCCTAAAAAGGTTTCACCTAGATCGGATGAGTAGTTTACGAGAACACTCGCGGACAAAAAAGTACCGGAGAACAAAGAAAAAATTCAGAAAAAGTAAAAACAATATGTTCCCAAACTTCGTTTGGGGAACATAAAAATGTGTCAGTCGAGAAAATCTAGACGACCGTCGTGTTATTTATCCAATGTTACCTTACTGATATTAATTTATTTAATACTCTATAAAGTGATATATACTAACCCATATTCAAACAACGTCAAGGAATATGGGATTTTATCTCAGTGATACATGTGCATTGCCCATTTTAGATTGAGTATGTGCTTCGCGGAATAATCCGGGTTGTGCATACCAGTTTTTTTGTTAGAAATGCCACAGTGACTATATATACTTGGTACGTGACGTAATTTCCTCCTTTCTAAGTTAGCAGACGAGCACATGGGTAGGTTGGTTCAGGCGATACAATCATTTCAATTTTGGATCGATATTTTAAAAAAGAAAATACGTTTTAGCCTACCAGTGTTTTCTCAAATAGAGTACATTTGTCCATTTTCACTGAAAGATTATATCCATTACGCATGCTTTCATCGGATTGAAGGTTAACTAAGCCTAGTGGTCTAATTTTCAAATGAACATTGATGTGAATTGAAAGCGGCTTTTACAAATGTATTATCACAAAAAATAAAAATGTTATCGTTATTCCGGTGCCCAGAATAACAAATTTAACTTAGAATGTTATGAAGCCAGGAAGCTTGGAATGTCGACCTACAACACAAAATGCCGGCCGTGGGGGAAATAACTCTTGCTTAAATCACTTCGATGAAAAACCATACATTTATATAATTTATCCATTATCACTGCCTCGTGTTGGGGTGGTCACGAGTAAGTGGCCTTCTTTCATAGGGTGAAATAATAAACGTTTTATTCTAACTAGACTGTACAAGCCGTTCTTTAAAAATATATAATTATACATTGATTCATAAAATAAATTCAATTAACTTTAAACAAATTGAAATGAATAGACAAGTTTTTTTGTTATAAAGTTTCAATCAAAATTTTGGACACGCACAAGCAAAGACAAGGCCATAATTCAAAAGGCGAACTTTAGGTAAGGGGTGGTCACGAATAAGTGGCCCACCTTCTTAGGGTGAAATAACAAAATAAAAATAACAAATAATAATAATAATAAACATTTTATGCTAATTACAAAACCAATAACGTTACAGGAAAAATTATCCGTATGACTACAGGTGCATGAAATATAGCATGTGTCAGTCTAACACTTGTATAAGGTCAACACAAGTGCATAGGAATGCACAGTCATTTAAGTCTCATAATCAACATCTTTACTGTCTTAGATTAAGCACACTAAGTCATAATTCAGGTACTCTCAAAATTCTTTTGGACTTAAAACGAGCAGTCGTGCAGTGCTTTGGACAAGGGTTTTAAATCAGAATTTGAGTTATTATAAACGGGGACTAAAACTATTTCTCCTACTAACTTCGTATCGGAAAATCAAAATGGGGACGTTTTTCCGGCCAAATGAGAGTAAGGGGTAGTTGAGTCTGGGGATGTAATTTGACCCGATTACAAACACCCATCCCTCAAAATATCCCCAACCGGGACGATATGGTTGCTCGCGCTCGATCACGCTTTTTACCTACCTACTTCCATTTAACAATAACGCACGCACACATAGACCCAAGGGGAACAACATTTAACACTGAATAACTTTCGACACAGTTGATGCCATGTTTCGAAGACTTACAGGACCATTTTTTCTAAAACAGATAAGGCAAACGCATATATTGGTATATATACAAAAGGAAGTAAGCTGTTAGGACTTTATTTTAGGGAAGCCTATAGGCTAATCCATGGACAAAAT